CTACCTAGATGATATTCTCGTATACTCAGAAGACGAGGCCTCCCACGAGGAGCACATCCGAGAAGTCCTCCGCCGGTTACGGCAACACGGTCTCTTTGCAAACCCGAAGAAGTGCAAATTCCACACAGACACCACGGAGTACCTCGGGTACATCCTTTCTCCCAATGGGCTAACCATGTCCACAGAAAAGGTTAAGGCCATCCAAGATTGGCCCGAACCCCATAAGGTAAAGGACGTTCAGTCCTTCCTAGGATTCGCTAATTTCTATCGGCGTTTTATCCATGAATATTCCGATATTGTGGTACCACTGACCTGACTCACCCGCAAGGGAGTCCCCTGGGTGTTCTCTGATGACTGCCGCGCGGCGTTTCAATGCCTTAAGCGGGCCTTTACCTCTGCCCCCATCCTAACCCATTGGGTCCCCGACACACCGATTATTATCGAGACAGATGCCTCCGATTATGCAATATCGGGCATCATCTCCATCCGCTGCCCGGATGATGAGATACACCCTGTTGCCTTTCGGTCAAGGATGCTGACAGCACCGGAACTCAATTATGACACCCACGATAAGGAGCTTCTAGCCATCTATGAAGCATTTCGAGGATGGCGGCACTACTTAGAGGGCTCGGGAACACCCATCGACGTGGTCACCGACCACAAAAACCTGGAATATTTTTGCACCACTAAACTCTTGACCCGCCGTCAGGCACAGTGGTCAGAGTTCTTATCCCAATTCAACATGGTGGTCCGTTTCCGCCCAGGAAAATTGGGCGCGAAACCGGATGCGTTGACTAGATGGTGGGATGTCTACCCCAAAGAGGGGGATAGGGACTACGCTCGCGTTAACCCTCAAAACTTCAGACCGGTGTTCACGCAGGAGCAGCTCGCGTCCTCCCTAAGAGCTACATACCTCGCTGAACCCGTCCTCCGTGCAAGTTCCCTCGTTGACATCAACGCTATCCATAAGGACATCATCACTGCCCTTCCCCATGACCCCGCCGTTGCGGACTATCTCACCGCCACGATACCAGAGGATTCCCGCTGGTCTAGGGACGCAGATGGCCTCATAAGGCTAGACAACCGGATCTACGTCCCAGACGCCAACGACCTCAGGCTCCGCATGCTGAGATACAAGCACGACCATCCACTCTCTGGGCACTTTGGATGGAACCGTACCTTGGATCTTGTCCGCCGGGAGTATACTTGGCCGGGTGTGCGCACCTTCATTAAAGACTACGTGTCTTCTTGCACCGCTTGTGCCCGCGCCAAAACTCCCCACCACAAGCTGTACGGCCTGCTCAAACAGCTCCCAATCCCCAAACGCCTGTGGCACTCCATCTCCATGGACTTCATAGAACACCTCCCCGCCTCTTCTGGTTACACCGCCATACTAGTCATCGTTGACTGGTTGTCCAAACAGTGCATCTTCGTACCGTCTACGGACACCGTCACGGCGCCGGATTTGGCAAAGATGTTCTTACTCCACGTCTTCTCCAAGCACGGCGTTCCCTCCCACATCACCTCGGATAGGGGATCCGAGTTCATCTCCCACTTCTTCCGCTCCCTGGGCAAGGCCCTCGATATACGGCTACACTTCACCTTGGGATACCACCCTGAAGGCGACGGTCAAACCGAGCGGATGAACCAAACCCTGGAGCAGTACCTCCGCGTCTATTGTAACTACCAGCAGGACAACTGGTCCAAACTCTTGCCCCTCGCTGAGTTCGCCTACAATAACGCCCCGAATGCTACCACGGGGGTTTCACCGTTCTTCGCCAACAAGGGGTATCACCCCAACCTTGCCGTCCACCCCGAGCAAGATCTGACCTCGGCGCGAGCACAAGATTACTCGGTCGATCTCGACTCTCTCCACCAGTTCCTCCGTGAAGAGATGACCCATGCCCAGCAGCGCTACCAAGGCCCTGCAGACGCTCGACGGCTCCCCACACCGCCGTTCGACATCGGCAGCTCAGCGTTCGTCAAGGCCAAGTATTTCCGCACTACTAGGCCATCGGCGAAACTCGCTGAGAAGAACTTTGGGCCGTTTGAGATCATTGCGCAGCTGGGTTCTCATTCACGCACACTCCGCCTCCCCAACACCATGAAGGCTGTGCACCCAGTCTTTCATGTCTCCCAACTTGAGCCCGCGATACCCAATTCCATCCCCAACCGGGAACAGCCCCTGCCGCCGCCAGTTGAGATCGACGGCGAACTCGAGTACGAGATCGCCGAGATCCTGGACTCCAAGACTGACCGACAGTGCAGCTGCAAGCTGCTGTACCTGGTACGTTGGCTTGGGTATGAGGGTACTGACAAGGAAACCGAGTGGCTCCCCGCTATGGAGCTGGAACACGCCTCGGATCTCGTTGCCGATTTTCACGCACGATATCCGGCGAAACCGGGACCACAACACGCTTGACAACAGAGGATGGGATTGTTAGTCGGTAAAGGCAGAGTCTAACAACAGAGTAGAGTAAGAGTCAGAGGTACTAGTCTCAGCCTGCCCCGCTCTTTCCCCACCCAACCTTGCACCCCGTTCCTCAGCCTCCGCGTGTTCCCTCCTCGACCGCATGTCCATTAGGCGTCGTTCCTCAGCATCGGTGACGTATTCGAGTAGGCGGCCCGCTATAGCGGTCAGGCCCGTCAGAGTCTTGTTCACGGCCAGGATTGCCTCATGGATTCGCGCAAGGTGATCCTCAGTGGAACGCTCGCCCTCATCGTCCGATTCGTCATTGTCCACGTCCAAAACCTCCCCGTCCTCCTTAGGCCCCTTCACTTGTGGGCGCTTCGCCACGGGTGACGTCCAGTCCCCGCATCGACACTTCTGCTTCAGCCTCTGGCACTCGGCGCAAACTCCGCGATTGCCCGTACCCAAGACACAGGCAACCTTGCGCTGGACACAATGATCGCAAGGTGGGGGATCATCTCCCACTGTAGATGGTCGATTACTGGCCGCAGGATGCTGTGATCGAGACGATCAGGATGATCAGTAGCACCCTGCACCCCGATCAGTTGACCAGGACTACTCACCTTCCCTGTCACCGACTCAGCCATTTTCCTTCTCTTCTTCTCTTCTTCAGCAGCAAGACGAGCTGCTGCTAGTCGCTCTGCCTCGCGGCGAGCCTCTTCTGCGCAACGCAATTCCTCCATGCGATCAGCCTCAACTCGGCGCCGTCTGTGGCGTTCCTGGCGTTTCTGGAGCATGAGCTCCTGCTCGTCGCCGGAGTTGTACTGGAGGTCTTCAATTTTCCAGGACGAGAGGTCCATCGCGCGGACCTTAGGGGGCATCTTGGGTTGCGATAGCAAAGTTAAGTCCTTTTGTTCAGATCACTGTCGGAATCAAACCCGGCATAGGCCGCAGGATTCTCACGCATGCATGGGACTTCAAGGGTTCAGTCCCAAGGGGGGGATACTGTCACGACCCGGAAATTCCCACAGTCAGGTGATCACTCCCCACACCTTCTCCCTCCCCCGCTTTGACCCCATCAACCCCGCTGCCCGCCCGACGCCGCCTGAACAAGCCTGTCACCCTTCCCCGTCACCACTACCTGTTTCCACAGCCCGTCACGGGCCTACGAGTCTTTCTTTATCATGCTTGTTTTTCTTGATGGCCATACACGGCCATCCTTCTCCCACACTCTTTGTTTGTTTTCATTTCCTCTTAACCCCACCTGCAATCTCCGTGAGATCTGGCGACTTAATTCCATTCATTCTGTTATACTTAAATACCGGTTGTACACTACCTCGTACTGCAGTTCGAAAATCAACTAGGGCTACCCCCCCGCACTCTCTGTCTGACCCAGTCACACCTCCTGTGAAAGGTTGCTTACTATTTTGGGGACGGTAACGTTCCGTTCCCCCGTTCGCCTCAGGCCTCAGTAGGTCCGTCTAAACATAAGCTTTAATGAGCTGTATATTCAACGGGGTAGAGGTAAAAGGCTACCGGGCCTTTACAACTACTCCGAGGTATATATATGTAATTTACATATCTCGGCGCAAATAAATAAAGAAATAATAGCATCACTATAATGGGAATTATAGCGATGCAACATAATGATATCACTATAATCGGAATTATAGTGAAGTAAGGTTAATCCCTTACATCCTGCCTCCTGAAATATCAGGGCCATGTCAAGTACAAGGCGCAACGCTCACAAACGAGTCATTGAAGCCAAAACCCCTTTCCGCCGCGATTGTCATCCCCGCCCTTGACGGGCTGTTACGCCAAAGCAGCGGACCTTAACGGTCACCGATGGCGAGTCACGGTAACGTTTTCCCATGCTCTGACATATATGAATTATAAGGTGTTTCGCCATTTGAGCAATATCTCCGTCAGTTTTGAAGCTTTTAGAATGAAACAAAACCGTGGATAAAGTTAAGAAACAGTCCTTTCAGATGGTAAAAATATTACAGTCAAAAGTTTACTGGTTCCCGAGATATTTACATTTCTTTCCCAATGTTCCTTCTTATTCTGCCGTCTATGTGCTATTTTCTTGTTGTAGGGATATATTCTTTGAATATTACACCTATGCCAAGTTCTAGGCATGATTGTAGTAGATTAAATCTCATGCTACATGGGTGTAGATAATTTATAATGATCTAATGTCTGTCCAGTCTCATAAAGATCATGAGATCTGTTAAACGTCTGAACTTGTCACCTGTTCGTTGACTATTCTGATAGATCATTGTTTTATTCTTTGAATATTATTTCTCCTACAGCGTGCTCCAAGGAATTCAGGGTAGTAAGCAGTACGGTGTCAGGTTGTCAGAGAAATGCCGAGTTCACTGAGTCGAGGTCGACATCTGAGGTTGGGTTGCCTGCCATACCTTGACGTCACCACAACTCAATTGACATTACACAACCTCGGACTTCCCTCATCGAATCGTCCCTCTTGTATTCAGATGGAGATAATAACATCGAATCAAAGTTTGTTGTCCCTTACGTATTGGAGGACGATATCCCCAAACACAGATCAAGTTCCCAACTTGAACAACCCTAGCACGATGCACCAGACAATGTCAACTAGTCAGCTTCGTATTGCACCAACATTCATCGCCCATCAAAACCTCGGTGTCATCACCTATGATGGTATGCAGAAATATGGACCAGGACTTCGGCGATGAGCAATCAATGGCAGACAAAATGGTTTAGACAAATAAATGAACACCCGATATAAAAAATTGTAAGATACGGCCCTGATCTGTTATGGGCATAGTAGCTAGCAAACCCTGTGGAAGTATTGTCAATAGTCTCTAACGAAAAACTGGGATAGCGTCGTCAGTGTTCTACCTTTCACACTTGCAGCATGTGCATTGTGATGTGGGTGGCCCACGGGAAAAGGAAATGATAAGCGGAATAGGGAAGACCAGAGAACCTAGGCCACTCAACCGTGGACCATTAGTGCATCAGAATGACGCCCGAGATTGGAGAGTGCAGTATGTAGATTCTTGAGTGAGTTAGCCAATCCTGGAGCATGTGCTCCTGGGTTGACAGCAACTAGCTGGCACCGGATTTGGACACATTCTTCAATGGATAGGAGTGCCTCCGAGTGCCGTCCGAGACTGGAAAGAGTTGCATATAGATTGTTGAGTGACGTGGCCAAACTGGGGGTGTATGATCCTGGGTGAACAGCAACTAGCTGGTGTCGGAGTTTGACACTTTCTTCGATGAATGGGAGCGCCTCCGAGTGCCGTCCCAGATTGGAAAGAGCGTGACATAGGCTGCTGAGTGACATGGCCAAATCCGGGGTGAATGATCCTGGGTGAACAGCAACAAGCTCGCGGTAGAGTTCGACGCTCTCTTCAATGAACGGGAGTGCCTCTGAGTCCCGTTCAAGATTGGAAAGAGCAGTACATAGGTTATTGAGTGACATAGCCAAATCCGCAGTGTATGATGCTGGATGAATGGCAACTAGCTGGCATCGGAGTTTGACACTTTCTTCGATGAATGGGAGTGCCTCCGAGTGCCGTCCGAGATCAGAAAGAGTGGTATATAGATTGTTGAGTGACGCAGCCAGATTCGGGGTGTATGATCCTGGGTTGACAGCAACTAGCTGGCGTCGGAGTTTGACACTTTCTTCGATGAATGGGAGTGCCTCTGAGTGCCGTCCGAGATTGGAAAGAGCATTGCATAGGCTGCTGAGTGACATGGCCAAATCTGGGGTGTATGATCCTGGGTGAACAGTAACAAGCTGGCGCCGGAGTTTGACACTCTCTTCGATGAATGGGAGTGCCTCTGAATGCCATCCAAGATCAGAAAGAGCAATATGTAGATTATTGAGTGACATAGCCAAATCTGGGGTGTATGATCCCGGATGAATGGCAACTAGTTGCCAGTAGAGTTTGATGCTTTCTTCAATGAATGGGAGTGCCTCCGAGTGCCGTCCAAGATCGGAAAGAATGGTATATAGATTGTTAAGTGACGCGGCCAGATCCGGGGTGTATGATCCTGGGTGAACAGCAACTAGCTGGTGTCGGAGTTTGACGCTCTCTTCAATGAATGGGAGTGCCTCTGAGTGCCGTCCAAGATCAGAAAGAGCAATATGTAGATTATTGAGTGACATAGCCAAATCCGAGGTATATGATCCTGGATGAACGGCGACTAGTTGGCGGTAGAGTTTGACGCTTTCTTCAATGAATGGGAGTGCCTCCGAGTGCCGTCCAAGATCGGAAAGAATGATATATAGATTGTTGAGTGACGCGGCCAGATTCGGGGTGTATGATCCTGGGTTAACAGCAACTAGCTGGCGTCGGAGTTTGACACTTTCTTCCATAAATGGGAGCACCTCTGAGTCTCGTCCCAGATTGGACAGAGCATTACATAGGCTGCTGAGTGACATGGCCAAATCCAGGGTGTGTGATCCTGGGTGAACAGCAACTAGCTGGCGCCGGAGCTTGACACTCTCTTCAATGAATGGGAGTGCTTCTGAGTGCCATCCAAGACTGGAAAGGGCAATACGCAGATTATTGAGTGACATCGCCAAATCTGGGGTGTATAATCCTGGGTCAACAGCAACTAGCTGGCGGTAGAGTTTGACGCTTTCTTCAATAGATGGGAGTGCCTCCGAGTGCCTCCCAAGATTGGAAAGAGTGCAATATAGACTGTTGAGTGACTCGGCCAAATCTGAGGTGTAGGTCCCTGGGTCCAGAGAAACAAGGTCACGGCAGAGCATAACAGAATCGTTCACTGCCTCATAAGCCTCCTGGAATCTTGAAAAAAAATCCAAATTCCCCCCAAGCTGGATAAGCTCATTGACCAATGCACAGATAGCATCCTTAGACCGGTGCTCAACAGCTGACTAGAATATCATGAAGTAGTTTCATTAATACAATTGACAACACATGCCTTAGCCCACTTGGGTAGTGACGAGATACTAATGTAGCCCTCCATTCTCACACAAACTTCCACCCAGTGAGTTGCTTCCTGAGTGAGAAATACAGCAACTGACACAGCAAGCCCCTCCTCCGGTTCCTGGACTCCACTGAGGTGATGGACAATATGGCGACATGCATAATGAAAGTGCTCGGATAACTCTTCTCGAGGAATGCGCGGCATTTCGTCTTTTTCGGACAGATTTTCAATCAGTCCTAAGCCCTTTACAGAGGAAAGATCCTGGTTGAGAATCTCGGTACATCGCAGGGCAACCCTGGCATTCTCGGTCTTCACATCTATTGAACTGCAACCAAGGCCGATTGATTGGGGGTCGATTCGATCCAGAATAAAGTCGCGGAAGGATTGATGTAGGATGCGAATCGGAATGTGAGGGTTCTCAACACCTGAAAGGAGAGGTGCAAGTTCGGCTAACGTATATCGAACAGAGGATTTCAAAAAAGGTAACAAAATCCTATCCCAGCTTGCGATGGACAGAGGCTGCTGTGCAATGAAGATTGCTCCCACCACAATCGGGTAGTCATGCACAAAACCTTCAGTCTTCCAATTACACCTCTTCAGAATGTTCGTGTACAAGCGATCCATCATTTCCTCAGCAGGAACCTTTGATCGTTTGGCACTGGTGTCAAGCAGGCTCTTTAGTGTCACCATAGGATCCTCGCTGGTCATCTTCATGTAGCGAAAGATGGTGCTGATCCAGATAAACAAGCCATTTGCACGTTCTGAGATCTCTTGTACTTTCTTATCCTCGTCCTGAAGATTATGGCGTAAATCCGGATGTACTTTCTTCAGCACTTGCAGCTGGGAATGTATGTATGTGGTGCAGTCCTTCAAATTTGTCCCATCCGAAAGATCAATAGTAAGACGATCGATAGGGTAATTGGGGGAGAGGAAGCGATTCACGAGATCAAATTGTCTCGATGTGATAAAGAATTTAATGGAAGATGGTAGCTTGGGCACTTCCTCCCCAAGTATTTCAGCAAGGGGCTCAAACGCTTCTTTGTCACACTCGTCTAAAGCATCAATGATGACCACCATAGGATGGCTGGGAGGTGGAGGTTTGTGGAGGAGAGGCGAAGCCACCAAATCCCTGAATTGCTTCGCAAGTGGAGCTGTTGAGAGGGAAGAGTCTTTTCGAAGAGCAGAGATAATGAAAGTGCGGTAAACCGGGTCGTGTTCTGCTAAAGCCCGAGCTATGCCGCTGAATAGAGAATCGGGCCGTGACCGTTCGCCAGCTTTAAAGAAGAAGTGCAGTAACAGGGTAACGTCCTCTTCACTCGTACACCGTTCTGCTATCGCGAGTGTAATCGAAGTCTTTCCGGCACCCGCCACAGCTGTCAGTAGCATTAGACGGTTCTCACTCTCCCCAGCGTTGCGGCACCATGCCATAATATGCTCGGCAAGATCCACCCTAGTACCTTCTAGGCATGCCTGAGTCGAATCATCGTGGGCGATATGAGGGAATCGGAGACTATCCAGAATTTTCTCATCCTGTAGTCGACATTCTATGGCCGCTAATTTGGCGCCGCCTATTAGGTTCGCCCTAAGCTGCATTGGCCGAAAATCAGAATGATTATGGGACGATACTGTAAGAAAACCTACCTGAAACGATGTCAATGCTTTGTCAAAATCTTTCCTTAGGTCATTGATCCTTCCTGGGTCTCTCAAGTAGGACAATGCATTCATGAAAGCCGGTCGTTTCTCCAGTTTTTTCACTCTTCGATCGATGTCGGACTTGATCTTCTGTAGCGCGCTAGGACTTGATGTAAGTAACGGTGTCGGGGAGAACCAAAAAATAAATACAACTCACCCATCAAGCTTTGTGATACTCTCCACCCACGGCTTTGCCTCTTCCGCTGATGGATCGTAGGATTTTATGGCTAAAATCACTTCGGTCACAGTGTCGACTACGTATTGACCAAAATTAGCCCATTCCTTCTTGTTGTCCTTGAACTTCTAAGTACGTGGCGCAAACGAGTGTGAGCTTGCATTCAAGACCGGTCACAAATCATTGCTAACCTGAACCTCGTCGTAGATGGAGAGTGCACCGCCAGTCGCCATTTTTAGTGGCGGACACCAATCAGCTGTATTATTGACAACCCGGAGGATTGGGACCGCTATGGCACCACCCGCTACGAGGAGATCATCGATCTTTTGCCTGAGGACCTCAGCCTTTTGCTGCAATGACATGGTCGATAGCGGACAAGTGGACGGAGAGTGCGCAATACACGTGTGAGCCCCTGATACTCAGAGCCACGGGGCCCCCGCCTGATTATGGAAGGATATGATATATGCATTTACATTAGTAGAGGCTGGATTTTGCTTAGCATTCAGTCTAATCCGATGTCAACGGCGAATTCTAGCATGCGCGTTGGCATGACCCAGACTGGTTATGACGGCGAGAGAATTAGTATGACCCCTGCTTGCTGACTTATAGGACCTCATATGCAAGTCGTAATCAGGCACGAGTTGCAGCGATCGCTGGCCCGCGGTAAGCGCCGCTGTGGTCCCACGACGGTCATCCCCTTCCTCAAGGGAAGCGATTAGCTTTTAATTAAGCGCTTAGGATGCAGGCAAGTGGGTGTCGGCTGTACGTCAAAGCCTGTCATTTTTCAGCTATCGTTTTCTGGAACCCAACTTCCTTTCCTTTCGATCAAGCGCCGCTCTCTAGACTGCGCCCTGAAAGCTCCAGGGCCCCACTGTACGCGTGTCGCGACCATCCCATGGCACCTCGACCCATTCAAGTTGGCGGTGAGGCTGTTTTCGTGGCGCTTGTGGACCCAATTCTTGTTCTACTTGTTGTGCCGTGTCATATTCGATCGTGATTACCCGTCGGTGAATAAATTGGCCTCCACAAGTACTTCGACTACTTCCCAACACATTGATATATACAACAATAATCTCAACTAATATGGCGCCACTGTGCCATGCGATTTCAGCGCAGGTTGGCATTCCTAGCATCTCATCACGGTCGTCCCATCCCTTATCGTAGGGGTGCAATCGGCTTTTATTTAAGCTTTTAAAATGTGGGTGTCGGCTGTGCGCCAAAGCTATTCGGACAGTATAAAAGGCTTACATTTTTAGCTATCGTTGAAGTCGTTTTCTGCAAACCCAATATATTCCCCTTTCCTTTGTACCCGCGCACCGAAAGCATCCCACGAGGCCTCGACTCATTCGGTGGGGCTGTTCCAGTGCCACTTGTGAGCCAACACTGTACCACTTGGTCGTGGCCCCGATGCGTCACATTCGATCGTGCTCCGGTCATAGGCAGTATCCCAGCCTCTAGACTTCGGTCACCGCTGGGGGTGACCCATTGGTGAATAAGATTGGCCGCTACGTATAGAGTACTTCGACTACTTCGCAACGCATTGATAGAAGAGTAGAATCTCATACATTACAGCAAATGCCAACGATGGAAACAGCTGCTTTGCTTCTGCTTCCCTCACCATCCAACAGTGCACCGCAGCGACCAATAATAGTACCAATACTGAAAAGTGAGTTTCAGCTGTTCAACAGTTGCACGGGTTGCAGGCCTTATTGTCGTGTCTGAACATTACGGAAAAAAATGCTACATTTCAAGTCCAGCAAAACAGAGCGGGACTCAGCTTCAAGGATAACACAACTTTGAGAACTGAGAAAAAGAACGAATTCATACTGGTATCGAGAATACGAGAAAAGGGAAGGGCTGACTAATAATACAACGCAAATAGACCTTCGGTCACCGCTGCTCCCAATGGGAATGCTGCAATGTTCAAGATCAGATCAATATTTTATCCGTATGCTCGCCACAATGACAAGAACGATTGGCCAACAACGAGACAGAAGAACAAACACCCAATGATCAAAGCTTAAGCGCCCTAAGAAGTCTCGGCAAATCAGGTGTTCCAAGTCCAGTTGCAGGGTCCCAACCTCTCGTCGCATTGAACCCCGTCGTTCCACAACCTGGGTTGCTACCCGTAGTGATGTCGTTCAGGACTCCCGATTTGAGAGAGTAAATCCATGGGTTGCTGCCCGTGTTGAGCGTAGTGCTTCGGTGAGCGGGTGCCTGAGGAAGGAAAAAACAAACAAATGTACAGAAATCCGAGAGGTCTACGACCTTTGGAGAGTAGAGCATCGTTTAAGAGGGCAATCTAAGACGCAAGTATACATCGTTGCTTAGGTCTGCGAGGAGAGAATGAAAAAGGAAATGGAACTCACTATCGCAGCAAAAGTAGGTGTCGAAGCGCTCGTACCCGAGACACGTATGACTTTCCCTTGATACACGATGAAATACCGATATCCCCTGCACAGAGGATGAGTGAGAACCCATCAGATCAAGCGATCCCTCGAGGACGAAGCAAGCCAGACGCATAAAGAAACTCACTGAGCCGCAACATCAGGATAGGCTCCCCCATTCTTGTTGAACAATCCTTCATACGTGCTTCCGAGTGTTTTAAGGTATCTCGGTACTGCATGGTGTTGGTACCATGGGCGGGGGAAGTAATCACTAAATCCCCCTCCCGAGAAGCGAACTGTTGTTTCGGGAATTTGGTACGTCGCCCCAACAGTCGTGACGCTTCAAGCAGCACGACTTAATGTTCACCACAGATATAGGGAAAATACATAGAAAACTCACTATGGGCACCCACCAGGGAAGATAGGCACGAACCTATTGGGGGTGAAACAAGCTCCTGTTTCCCCCACGCGGCCTACACCTCCATCGCCCGAGGCATGCAGAGCGCTAACACCCCGCGTCCCAAGTGCAGCGTAAAGCTTGCACACACGTCGGGCGTAGTTGATTGGAACTGTATTCTCATCCTCACCTTCATATAATTTCGAAAATTCCGCGGTCCCCACATGGGTGTTAGAGTGAAACTTTTGGGTCCCAGAGGAAATAGGATGCAGAGACTCACCATAACTGGTAGTCAACACTTGAGGAAGATCCTTCGTTTTCTTCCTGAGGTAAGTGAGAAAAACGTCGTAGCTGTGGATTGTGATAATTTAGTAGATTCATATGAATACGGGTTTGGCATCCACTCACGGTTCATTCCCGTTATCCTCATAGCTGATGCTCTGGTTCGTATTTTGGCCGCGACCATATGTACTGTAGAATACTAATTAAGAAGAAATGGTGTTACGATAGTTAAAATGGTACTGATTCAAGCCGTACGTACTTTGCTTGACAGGGTACTGCGATCAAAACAGATTCCATGGGGCGATTGAGTAACCCGGAATCTGCATTGCACAGAGGTGAGGTAGCTCACCGATACCCCTCCCGCGAATTGGACATCCAAATTCTGTGAATTTAAGAGGAATGCCAAAAAACCGAGGGGTTAGTGTTCAAATTTTATACATATAAGGGCGTGAAAAGAAAGAGAAAAAGAAAGTGGGAATGGAAGAATCGAGATTCAAAGGAACTTACAGCCTCGATGCCAGCCTCGGAAATGTTCCGAGAGCCGATTGCTCCTATGTAACAGCGACAACAAGAGAGAGAAAAAAAATGCATCAATAATAACGAAATGCCACAACGATGAACTTTACCGTTGATAAGCCCCACATGGAGGGCACTCTTCAGCGCTGGAGGATGGAAAATGGAATAAAACTGTTTGAGGTCAGCAAAGTTCGCATATTGCTCGAGGTACCTAAAATGAGAAAACATCACATTTTAGTTTAAACAGTTGATGGGAATTCCGAGAGCGAAACGATTAGCATGTGATGATACCTACCCGGTGATACCGATTGAACTTCGCGTTCCTTTAGCCTTGTACGCATCGGTGCGATAGAGCGTTTTAAGCTCTGGGAGTGACATGTTTGGTTGTGGTGATGGTACTGGGGCGGGAGCGCTTTGCTGGTTGAAGGCGCCATCATCAACTATCAGAGGCGACAAGAGGTCGACCAGAAGGGGAGTAGTTCGTAGGCTGAACGACATCGATATGGTCGTGCAGGTGAGCAGGAAGACTATATGACGTTGTACGAATCGCAGTGAGTCTGGTCTCGTGGTTCGCATATATTGAAAAGGTTGTGTCGAGAAGTTTCTCTGCGATTTCAATGGTGGTCTTGAGTGAGATCCAATCACTTGCGGGTGTTCGTTGGAGTGCGTCGCCAGTGATATCGATGCCGTGCGAGACAAGAAAAGATTCGAGTAGGATGATACTTTCTGAGGAGCGGAGAACTCTTCGACCTCTTCTTTGCTTAAGTGCTCAGTCCATCGGGGGCTAGATGGATCGCTTATTTCAAACGGTGAAAGTAAGGCTAGGTGAGCCCAAAACGGAGAGTGATGGGAGTGCGAGGCGAGGAATGCCATGGTGGGTCCATCCCCGAGGCAGTCGGATCGAGCTCTTCTCGACAAAATGGAAGTGCGGCGCACACCCAACTCAATAAGGGGAGAGCAGAAACGAGCAATGCCAACGAGGGAACCATTCCGAGACACCTTCCGCTCAACTGCTCAAGGACTGAAAACGGGGGGGACACGAGCGCATTGCAGAGAGGCCAGATGCGATCCTTAAATCCACATCGATCGAGGCGGGGAAAAACAGCCGGACGGATGCCTCTGAGGAACATCTTTGAAGGGAATTAAGCAAAGTGACTTCCCCGCAATAGGTCCCATACAAATTGAACGCCACAAAGTGGATGAGGAACCAAGATGGATCGCTGACGATGTGCAAATGCGGAGTGATATAAATATAAAGCTAATGTAGACTGCATAATGTACGTATATAGCACACAATATGTGACACGCTTACTTCTTCTCTGCCATAGCCAGTGACCAGCCTCTATGGATTCTGTCATGCACGCGAGATTCACAGCCGATTCCAACAAGATCATAGAACGACGGCGGGTGATGAGACCCACACATCACACATTCGCTCTGACTCTCCAGCTCCAAAGCGAAGGACTCAGATAACACTACAGTCAGAAAAAGGGTGTTGGTGTGGCAAGGTTGGCGATCACGAGATTGGTGAGCGATAGTGGCGTTGGGATTGAACTGGGGCCGGCAGGTGGATTAGGTTTAGAACTTGGCTACTAGCTAGTCCTGAACTTGTTCCTTGCGCATGTTTCGCTACTAGCCTAAGATTGAAGTGGGTCTCAAGAATTACGTGAATATGCTCGTCTCTCAACTTTCCTGCATGATGTCTGCGTGCTCGGGAAGCTTTCACTATACTACAATGGGCTTAGAGCAGCCAGTACAGTGAGAACGGGTTATGTGACACGAATTTATTCAATTTATTCCCACGGCTACAAGTCGTTCGACATCACTAATATCCTAAACTCCAGTCTAGAGAGTACCTCGCTTACTTACTAGTATATCCTCCAGCTGCATGTGTAGATGGCCTCAATCCTTTTGCTTACCATGTGGCTTTTTTGTCACAACGACGCCGCTTGGTGCTGAAATGCATGCAACAGCAGAGAAATTGCGTATGCTGCCGGTGTCTCCTACGACCTGACTTCCACGGTTCGGATAACTAGTACTGTATCATGCTGGACCGGGGCCTAAGAAAGAATGAACATTATACCAATCGGCCGAATGTACACCTGCCACCCGTGGACGTTACCAGCCGACTCCGTCCCCTTCTGCTCTGGTTACACGCTTCCTTGCACCGAGGCACCTGGAAAACATGGAGAATTTCTTTACCTTTTGTTCGTAGGATTTAGGAAGTGGGACTCCCTTCCTTGATGTGGCGTCTCCGTGTTTGAGAGCGCCTCCTACATATCGATCCGTATATAACCCAGCTTATTCTAGCTACAAGCCTAGACATTTTTACCACCCCTTAATTAGCTGGTTCCATTGAATACGCATGCAGCTGGTTAGCATATGGCCTTTCGAATCGATTGATCTGTCGATGATCGCTTAACAACCCCTGCGGCTAGCCTGGCTTCTACCGATTGGTTCAAATATCGCTAAGACGCCAAGAGGAGATTGTACTTTGGTACTCTAAACAGCTTTGTCTCGCTGTACTCTCGTTGGCAGAATGCTTGCTCTTGACAGGGAACTCCTTCGGGTGGCATGTGTATAAAATTGGAACGATACATATACTAAGCTAGTCACACCAGATCGGATTATCTAAATCTGGAATCAACGAACATGAGCGCCCGTGTCAATGGCAATTGGTATCAGGATGGATTTTGTGAAACAGCCCCAACAGTAGTTCTATCTGGCGAATGTACGCCGCATCCAAGCTTTTTTGCTCCTTGAGTCCTGGCAACATAGAAGAAAACTCTGTCCCGTCGATACCAGCTCCATAAATAACTATCACTGAGACTAAGGATTGGATGCCTCTTGGAGCCCTCACTGCTGAACTATGACAAGTCACAGCTCTGAAGTCTTCATCAGGTAGCCCCTGGACCACGACACAGGTGGACATCTCCCAGGGGAACGTCACCAACAAACGACCACCAAGATCAAGCAAGCAACTATCCCTCTCCCCTTCTCCCCCTCTTAGAGCCTTGACCCCAGAGCCACTGCGGGTTCAACTGAACCGCAGCAAGTGGGGACTCTTTAAGAAGTCATTTCACCCTAAGGCGCGTTGGAGTTTCGGATCCCAGAGCCACTGTCGGTTTATTCCAATGAATCGCAACAAGTGGGGACTCTAAAGAGATCGTACCCCCGTGAAGCTTTGGCCCCAGAGCCACTGTCGGGATCGACTGAACCGCAACATGTGGAGACTCTTTAGGGCTTTTGCTGTGGACGCGATACATCCCCTCCCCCCCCCTCTCTTAAAGCTCCGACCCCAGAGCCACTGCCGGGTTCAACTGAACCGCAGCAAGTGGGACTCTTTAAGAAGTCTTTCGCCCTAAGTCGCGTTGGAGTTTCGGATCCCAGAGCCACTGTCGGATTATTCCAATGAATCACAACAAGTGGGGACTCTAAAGAATCGTATCCCCGTGAAGCTTCGACCCCAGAGCCACTGTCGGGATCGACTGAACCGCAACAAGTGGGACTCTTAAGAGGCTTTTGCTGTGGACGCGATATACCCCCACCCCCACCCCCCCTCTTAGAGCTTCGACCCCAGAGCCACTGCCGGGTTCAACTGAACCACGCCAAGTGGGGACTCTTTAAGAAGTCTTCGCTCTAAGTCGCGTTGGAGCTTCGGATCCCAGAGCCACTGTTGGGTTCAACTGAACCGTAACAAGTGGGGACTCTAAAGAGATCGTATCCCCGTGAAGCTTCGACCCAGAGCCACTGTCGGGATCGACTGAACCGCAACAAGTGGGGACTCTAAGGAGTCTTTGCTGTAAACGCGATACACAAACATCCCCGTCCCTCCCCTCGGAGCTTTGACCCCAGAGCCACTGTCGGGTTCGACTGAACCGCGACAAGTGGGGACTCTTTAAGAAGTCTCTGCCCCGGAAACAACAAGCAACTATCGCCCTAGATTAAGCAACTACCACACTAGATCGAGCAATGGATGCCTCTTGGAGCCCTCAACTGCTGAACCATGACAAGTCACAGTCCTGAAGTCTTCATCAGGCAGCTCCTGGACCACGACAAGGTGGACATCCTCCCAGGAGATCAAGAACTCAGCAACTTACCTCAAATCCGGTCTCATTTTGTGCCCGCTAGCCTGGCTAGATCTATAAAACTGCAGCTGTGATAGCCTTGCGGCCTCCCTTAATAAGATCAACTTATAGACCGCGGTGACCTTGCTACTCACTTTCATTAATTCCTTCTCTTCTCTTGCATTCATACTGTTCCTATCGAGTGTTAAGATTGCCACTCGGAATTTCTTGTATTCCATAGCTCTGAACGAGACGTCCACATGTGGGCTTTTTGTCGCTTCGGCGTCCTTCCTAGTAGCCCCGGACTATCTGTAACCTCGGGTCAGTGATGTGCTAGAGAGTAACTATGATAGACTTGCCTAAACCCAAAATTCAGGCCAGATCTTCAGATGTAAGATCGCTGCTTCAAACTAATCAGTAGAGCTTGGATCGCCATACCTCTGCTCTCCTTGTTCTGGAGTACCCTTGGAGCAACTTGCCGGTTCCTCGAGATCTGACTAGTTTTAGGTTCCAAAAGAGACGTCCACATGTGTGTGTTTCACCGATTCCGTACTAATGATGCTAGGTGTGAGGATTCGAGAAAACACAATGAAAAGCGATGCTAGCGAGCCAACAGTAGTGCTTACTTAGACTCCGTCTATCATCCCTTTCTCTTACACATAGAGTTCCAGTGGAGGTTCCAGTTGATAACAAAGAACTCGGAGGTTTCAGGTAGCCTAGACAGGCGTCCACATGTGAGTTTTTGGCCAAACGGTGCAAATATAATGATATGCAACTCACTTTCTTCTCTTATCTTGTTTCTATACTGTTCCAATGGAGTATTGAGGTTGTCACTCGAAATTTCTTGTTTTCCATCGCTCTGAATGAGACGTCCACATGTGAACTTTTTGCCACTTCGACACCCTTCCTACCTTCCTAATAACTTCAGACCATCCGTAACCTCGGGTCAACGATGTGTTAGAAAATGATAACAACCATGATAGACTTGCCTAAACCCCGGATCATCAGACATAAAGATCACTGCTCAAATCGGCACCGCTTCAGTATTACTCTGGATCACCACACCTCTGCTCTCTTTCTCTTGTTTTAGAGTACCCTGGGAGCAAATCGCCTGCTCCTCAAGATCTGACGAGTGTTAGGTACCAACATAGACGTCCCCAAATGAGTGTTTCACCGATTGCGTATGTACACTGGTGTGAGGATTTAAGGAAATACAGTGGAAAGCGATGCCAGTGAGCAGCGGTGGTGCCGATCCAGGTTCTGTCTATCTTCCCTTTCTCTTACAACATGGAGTTCCAGTGGAGGTTCCAGTTGATAACTGAGTTATCAGGGGTTTCAGGCAGTCTAGATAGGCGTCCACATGTGAGCTTTTGGCCAAACGCTGCAAATTCTATGTAATGCCAACAGATAAGCACCGCAGGTAAATACCAGGGGAGTGCAGATTCGAAGGCGTGCAATGGGAAAAATGCCAGCGAGCATGCAAGACAGTGCCAAACATAGCGTCCGTCAATCACTTCCTTCTCAGCGGGCGTTCTGATTGATGCGCAAACACTTGACCGAACCCGGCCATACGCAGTGTCAACAATGCCAGGAAAATGCACGTCTGAGAGTGCGATAAGAAATGAGCAGCGCCAGATCTAACTTCTGTTTCTCTTGCATATAGAGTTCCAGTCGAGGTTCCAGTTGATAACCGAGAACTCGGAGGTTTCAGGTAGCCTAGATAGGTGTCCACATGTGAGTTTTGGCCAAACGCTGCAAATATAACGCCATGCAACTCACTTTTTGTTAATTATTCCTTCTCTTTTCTTGTTCGTGTACTATTCCTATTGGGAATTAAGGTTGTCACTCAATCCTGTTCTAAAGGAAGAGTCATAAGCAGGGAACGGCTTCCCTCAGGGAATTACGATAGAATCCACTTTTGGCACCGGCCAGCTTAGGGTATGTCACTACTGTTGACGTACGGTCCCACTCTCTATATACGGCAACCGTATTGTCCAATCACGCCCTCGAACTCCTGGCTACGCTTCCTGATTCACTGCGTTTATCTCTCTTGCTGCACCACAAACCGCCATGAATCTCAATCGCGATGGCACACATTCTCTTCTGCGCATCCTCGTCTGTTACACAAGACTGTTTTCTCTTTCGGACTGAGTAGACGCCCAGGCTTGATGTACAACAACAGTCGTTTCTTCAGTTTTATACCGACCGAACCTGAGTGAACCTCTCTCTCTCGCTTTATTTGTTCTCGATGCTTAAAAATGGTTTCTCGGGTCTGACGTTAACGCCTCAAAGCCAGGATTGAGCCTGACCCCGCTCCCATTCGGTATCGGAGAAAGCAGTCAAGATGCCGCGCGGAGGCATGCGATCTGCACACAGAAAGGAGGCTGAGAATACAACTCGATCTGTCCACCGGGACCACTCTCAATTCTTTACTTCTTTCCGTACCGCAATCCAGCTTCGCAATGCTGATATCCCATGCCTACCATGTACAATGAGTCTTCGTAACCTATCCGCTGCAGATCA